TATATATATATATATATATATATATATATATATATATATATATACCCACCCCCTCATACACATACATGTATAAATTGCCCCATTACACAGGACTTTAGTTGCAAAAACGTCTTACCTAACTGCCCATTTGCACCTTGCTAATGCACATTGGACTTTCTTCTATTTATGCATTTTTATTTTGTATTTGTTTATGTATGCTATACATGCATCTTTTAATTGCCCCTCTGGGAATAAATGAAGGTTTTTTTTAATTGAATTGAACTGAATTGAATTAACCAGCCTGAAGTTACCAGATCTAAGCAAAGAGTTATCGGAACATACCCTGTCAAAATGAGAGAGTTCCTGGATCCTGTTCCAGCAGATTAAGCCCTGCATATATGTCTATGGCATGGGGCCTAGGAATAGGGTGGATATATGTTTCTATTTTGGACATAATAGAATTTAGGATTCATTGGCTGAGAGCTGATCACATGTTGAGTGTAGGGGTTTTCCATGAACTGTGATGATGACTATCCTGATGCATGCTCAATAATCCAGGTAGAAAAATCCAAAAAAGTTCAATCTGGTCCTCTGGACATTCAAAAACACAAAAAACAAAACAAAGCAAAAAAATATAGAAACGTTTCGTCTCTCATCCAAGAGACTTCCTCAGTCTGAGGTGCTGTTTTCAGCTCAGTCTCTTAAATAGCACCTTCTCATGTGATGATGACATTTCCGTAGGTGTGACCAAGCTCTGAAGAAAACTGTGGCTCACTGAATCAATCGGCGCCATTTTGTGGGAGGCTGTCTTGTGGCGAATCATAGATGGACCAGCGCTGTTGAATTTGTACCTTACGTGTGTGTAAAATAAACCTTCTGACGTGGAAATTGATCACTTCTCTGGAGCCCGCTTCAGACCTTTGAACATGTTTTACAAGAAGACGACTTGTTAAAAATGTCTCAATTTTAAACATTTTCTCAATCATTTTTAAACTTTGAATGAGCTCATTAAGAGCGACATTTACATTCAGTGATGAGGAAGGGGTGTTGAAAGGCTCAAGTGAAGTTTTCACTGCAACAGCTGGACCTCCCTGCATTACAGCAAACTTTTAGAGGCATCTCGGACCGAACAGATCAAGTAAGAGCGACAAAAACCAACGACTGGGTCTGGGTTTACAGAGCAAAATGAAGGAAAACTGAATGCAGACTGACCTCCATGCTGGTGAGATTACAGCGGTGAGTCCCAGCAAACCAGCCGCTGCTGGAGCACTGGTCAATGTCCACGTCCTGCAGGTTCACATCTACCCAAAGGACACCCCTGTCAGAGAGACAGGACAGGGGTACAAAAGAAAGGGAAGAATGAGAGCATTAAAATTATTATGGAATCAAACAAACTGTATTAGGTTTAATAAAGAATGTATTGGAAGTGAGATAAGAAAGGAAAAGTTGGATAAACGTCACAAGAGTACAAGAGGACAGAGGAGGACACTGAGACTGAAGAGGACAGAATAAAAGATGGGACATTTAACAGGAAGGACAATCCTCTGGTACATAAAGTCCAACAGAGCTGATTGAGAGGAGTGAACAGAGGATCAAACAAGAAATGAAGCGAAAATGGACAAAATAAAAAAGGAAGTTTAGGTTAGCCTTTTGAAGTTAATGCATTCAAAGATGGCCACCACAGCTAATCAACCATCTAGCATTTCAATTAACTCTATAAGTATTATTTTAGCAGTGTAACTGCTGTATGTAGTTGATTCAGTGTGTCTGCTAATGTCTCTGTAAGGTTAGTGAGCTAATCAAGAGATACATCTGCAACTGGAGACCTGTCCAGGTATCCCTGTTATGGACTGGAGACATTTCCAGGGTGTCCCCCACCTCTCGCACAGTGATGGCTGGACAAGGGCACCGGCAACCCCCCGTGACTCAAAATGAAAGAAGCCGGTAAAGATGATGTATGTATGTATGGATGGATGGATGTATGGATGTATGTATGTATGTCTGGATGGATGGATGGATGGATGGATGAATGAATATTTACTGTAAGTTTGTACGAGTTATGTTGAGAAGAACCGAGGGAGAGTTTTTTGTTTGTCTTTTTCACTTGTCCGAGGCAGTGCAGTGACAGATCATTGTGAGCAGAGGGAGCAAATTTATCCACCACCAGGTGCAATGGAGGAGAAATGAGGTGGCCAATATATATATATATATATATATATATATATATATATATATATATAT